CCGGTTTAATGCTGCGCTATCAGATGTGGAATATCTTTATGGTGTCTCCGTAAGACTTTCGACGTGGGCCCCTTAAAACTGACGACACGGACACATAACGTTAACAGAGTTTCTTCGACTAGAATTGTGTATTCATCCATTGCATACCAACAAAAAAATAAATAAATAAATAAATAAATGAATAAATAAATATTTGCCATATTGGACATTGGTGAAACGTTTATCGAAACGTTTTGAATGTCGTTATGGTTGTTAAGACATTGAAATATTAAGAACTCTTTAACGAATTGAGCTATCTCATTGTGTTATGTACACACATTTATAAATATATAAATATATAAATATATTATATATATATACATAAAAAATATATATGTTGAAGAGTTAAACATTTACCACTATGATGATCATACTAATGCAGCGTAATGGACGAATGGCATGCACTCAAAAAGTTATAAGATGTTATTAATATACTTCCGAAGTCGAGTAACGCAGATTAATTAAACTTTCTTGATGAATTGATGAGAAAAAAAAAAAAGAAAAAAAAAAAGAATCCCGATCAAGTAATCCTGTAAAACGGAGAAACAAACGTTAGTGAGCGTAAACGATATTGTACTTATCCCAATAACATAACGATCGAAAGGGAGAAAACGACTTTCGATTCCGTGCTAGATTTCGGGACACTCTTTGTAACTCTGCGTGGCCCGACTAGGTTCTGGTTGAAATACGATTACTGCGATACGTAAGCTAAACTGTAACAATAAAAAAAAAAAATAATAAAATATTATACTTATGACTTTCAATATTACAACCTTATCTCTTAATTTTTAAATATTGAATATACGAGATTTGAATTTTTATTTCTTTTATATATATATAAAATTGGAAAGTTTATTAATTATTAAGATATCGTACACATTTTTTTTTTTATTATGAGTCTCCATATACTTGATAATTTTTTTATTTCGCAATTACAACAATGTTCATATCTTTTTTTAAAGTACATGTGTATCAAGTGTTCGAAGAACATAATATATCTGAATCTATATGCACGTTTATAATTTGTTCTCTCTTGCTTCGATTACATCTCGCTCATCTTCTCTCAACAAAAAATCGTTAAAGCATTATTTAAATTATTTAAATTAATATATTTCCATCTCTTCGAAACTATATTGGAATGGATCGACATTAATTCTTCATACAATCAACGATCAATAATTTCATTGTTAAAATACATGATATGTGTACATAATTTTAACGCGACAATAACAATTTGTCGATTATCATTCGATCCGATCGTCAAAGTTTAATACGTTTACACGAGAATTACGAGAAGTTACATTTTCAAGAGATTTAATAAATACATCACGGACAGATCGTGTACGATAGTCGTATTAATTAACGCATTTTCTTCGCGGAAATTATTAGAGATAATCAAATGTGAGATTAGAATTTGGAACGTGCGAGAAATTTAAACTCTGCTCTTATCCAATACCGTATTCAAGGAACAATTACGATACATCCCACCGCGTCCTTGATTTATGCTGAAAGAATTATCTCGGGGGTAATAAGAGGTTGGCACGGTGTGAATCGTCGGCGCGTACCATCCGTAATCCATCGCCGTGCTTCTGTAACAAGGATGGGGTAGGGGAGTTTCGTCCTGTCGATATCCCTTGAACACTCCTGCAAAAACGATCTTTTATCGGATAAAGATTTCGTCCTCTATCCCTATGATAGATGATATCCTTCTCCCTTGTCTATTTTACATTTTTTTTTTTCTATAATATTTGCTAATATTTTACACGAATCATTGTTGACTTGTGTACGACAGTACC